TTTTTTATGATGAATTTTTCTACTTTTTTGCCTCCTGTTCAAAACCTTATTAAATGATCATATTACAGTGAAATTGAGTATATTAATTATATTAATTTATATATTTTTAAAAAAATTAGTCTTTTTGCATACTAGGGATTGAATTCAGAAAGAGCTTATCAAGGAAATGTAACACCAATTATGATCTTTTGTGTTCTCTCCTCTTTCCCTTTTCTCTCCCTCTCTCCCTCATTCTCCCACCATTTTTCTTCCTTTCCTCTCGCTCTCTTTCCCTTCACCACTACTTTCTAAAGAGATCTCACTCTTTAGGTCAGTCTGGAACTCACTGTTTAGCACAGGGCATCTTAAAACTCCAAGGCAATCTTATTGCCTCAGCTCTCATGTGATGGGATTAAAGGTATGGCATACCATACAGAGCATATTTTTTTTTTGACTTTTGATTTTCTGTTGAAGCCTCCTCAACTTGCCCAGATTGGCCTTCACCTCCTCTTGCTGCTCAGGGAATGCTTAAGCCTGCTATCTTGCTTCCTCAGTCTCAGAGGTAGCTAGGATACAGGCCTCCACTGCTAGGTCTGCCCCATTTCAATTACTGGTTTAAAGAGGATAAGAAACGTTAATAGGTGACCCTAATTCTGTAAAATGTGTGACGGTGTAGAAACAGTTGAAGTTATCATGTGAGAAATCAATCGTATAATCAGAGACACAAACTCCTTACACCAAGTTTCTTTCTACTTTAGACATCAATCTGCATAGCAGCATTATATTATGTAAAGGAAAACAGGTACTCTATCGCTTGGAAATTGGAAAACTCTATTTATTGTCACAGAAGGACATTTGTCAAAGCACATAACACTGTATTCACAGGTTTAAAAAATCATAGTACCACAATCACTTATTTCCAACATTTATAAAGCTACAACTCTTAAACATAAACTCAGAAGGGGATTTATTTTCATTTTGATTTTAATGGCATTAAGGGCATTGGAAGTAAAGGCTTCTGATTGGATCTAGGATATAATTTAGAATAAAGTACCAGTCCAAATTTTATGAGATCAGAGTTGAGACAGAAAAACAAAATCAAATGGCGTCCCCATGTGAGGATAACATGTAAAAGTGGTTATCTGCAGTCAAATGGAGGAGACCTCCAGAGAAACCAACCAGAATCTTGGTCTTAGAAAATATGAGAAAATAATTTTCTTTTATTTAAACCTCTGAGTATATGGTATTTTTTCATAATACCTGAATTGTCTAATATAGTATCCCATGTTTTCACCTCTATGAGCATTAGGGTTTGTTTGTTTGTCTGTTTTGTTTTTGTGTTTTACTATTCACAAACGAAGAAAATTAGCCTTTATTTTATGATAAACTTCTAACATTTATGATATAATTCACAGTGTTTTAAATAAAATTAGTAGACATTGTGAAAATTTAGAAGAATTCATTTACAGGTTACTGAGGTGCACTATGTTTTCCCTTAGATTCTCTCCTGGATTATTTTCAAATTTTGCTGTCATATACAGTGGGTATATTCTTCGGGAATCATATTTAATGCTAAGTAATTTTCCATTTCACAATGCAACTAACTTTACACCTCTTCTTTCAATTTCTAAAATGGTGAATCCAACTATAGTGTATTTAGCAACAGAATGATTCATCATTGATATGGTCAATTATGACACTGTACTCTAGAACAATCATTTAATAAGACCAGCATTATGCAATGATCAGTACATTTCCTCATCTAAAGATGAATAAACTAAAGTTCAAAGAGCCTTCGCCATGACTACTTGGACAAGGAGTGGCTTTATCATCCACATTAGGTCAATCAGCTTCTACTAAAAGTTGTAATCAAATACAGAGTAAAGAGCAGAAAAAGGGTCGACGATAATACATTCCCAATGAAATGTCCTTTGAAGACTTTCAGTTTGCTTCTACTACATGAATTTTCAAAACTGCCAGTGTCTTATTATTATATATTATTTATATAAATATATACATATATAACATATTAATATATGTACTGCATGTTAATATTAATATATGTAATATATACATATTAATATAAACAGGGACTGTGGTAGCTTAGAAAATATTATGGGTATGGGTGGTTTAGCTGTCTATCACAGGCATACAGTGCCTGCAGAAACCAAAAGAGGTTGTCAGATCCCCTGAAAATATAGTGACAAAGAGTTGTGAGCCACTATTTGAGTGCAGGGAATCAAACAAGAAGCCTCTGGAAGAACAGCAAGTGTTCTTAACCACTGAAATATCTCTAAAGCCTGGCTGCTCCTTTAAAGTCAAATCCATTAGCTTTTCTCCATTCTCTGGTTGAGTTATCTCAAATACTTCCAACAAATTCCATTTTTCTCTTGAATCAGACAGACAATTTTGGTTGTAACCTACTAAAGACCCATATCTGATAAACTCAAGCAAATGAATGCATAGAGCATCATTGTTTTTTGAATCTTTTACTTACATATATATCATATTTGCTACTATACGCTGAAAACAAAATAAAAAAACGTTCCTGAAGTGCAGCATTGCTTAGAATTTCCATGACTAAGAAAGGAGCACAGTCCAAGCACTGCAAGTTCGTCTCCATTTAGATGGGTTTTATTACACTAAAGTACACTGGTTTGGTGACTCACCAGTGATAATTCACTACTGAAATAAAAAAAAAAGCATTTTACAGTCATTATATCCTTTAGTGTTACTTCTAATTTTGATTAACTCGTTTGTTTTCCTTTTCTCATCAAATATCATAGGTTCTTGTGAAAAGCAGTGGATAATAATTTTAAAATCAAAGAAGAATTTATCATTAAAAATTTAGGTGAGAAATGGTATCATCTTTGAAGCATATTCTATAATTTATTAAAGAAAAATATCATTAGAATCATCTTTTATAAGTGAAATTTAACAAAAATTCTAGCTAATCATATATCAATCGTTAGTTAATTCCATTTCTAAAAAGATTAAAGATCTAAGCTAACTATTTCTATGCACTTCAGTAAATTTCTGTGAGTTTAGACATTTATATCTACTGAGAATCCTTTGTATTCAAGGAACATCATTTTTATTCCTACACATTGTGGGAACATCAACCATGTATATGATGTTTCTCTTTATTAATGACATGTATTTCCCTGAAAGTATTTCCCAGAAGATAAAAATCCAACTGAAAAGTGTGTAAAAGTGTGTGTGTGGGGATATTTCAAAACCTTTACTTCTTTTTTTCCTTTAGAACACTTATTACTACATGATAGTATTTCCCCCAAGACGATTTTTTATTTTATTTGAAGTTGGCAAAAATCTTTGTGCTAAATCCTTTGAGCATACCTCTAGTGATAGATGTCAGATCAGTGCTCTATGGAAAAACTTTTGTTTGACAGGTAGATGACAGGAAGAGAGCTCTCTCCAAAATAAATGACTTAAGAATAAAATCTTTCTGTGAGATTAATATAATCTTTTCTTCTTGCATATAAATGAATAGCTCATTCTTGCTTCAAGATAATCATCATGAATTTGAATAAGGAAAATTAATGCAGTTTAAAAATGACATATTTGTTCAAATTAGAACAGTTAGCGTGAGATATGTATATATCAAATGTAAAATAGATATATGGCATGATATAAATATATACAATATAAATTTATGACTTAATTTATATCTTCATAATCATAAACCAAAAGTATACATTCAAAAACTGTACATAGAGAATACATTCAACCTGAGTAGCCTCTTAGTAAGGCATGATCTTAGTAGGATAGGTTATAAGGTCTATAATTGTATGAACAGGACCACACTAATTTCGCATTATAAATACAGATGTAATTACTAATTTATTTCAAGTATTGCCTAACTATTTTTGGTGTTATCTAATGAACCGACATGTTCCCCACTAAAAGAAGAGAGAAGAAAACTATTCTTGAAAAAGTATGGTATTTTCAAATTATCTAGTCTATCTATATGTTATCTATAATGTTATCTTTTTATATAATACTTAAAGAAATATCAGGAATAAAGGGATAGCCAAAATCTCATTACATATATCACCAATCCATGCTATCCCTTGTACTTATGTATGTTACAATTAGTACAATGAAATCATTTTCATATATTAAAATATAAATTTGTATATTTGCGCCTTGTATAGATCAGTAAATGAAAAATAAGGAATGCCATATTTATTTGGGATTTTTGTTAAAAGATATTTCTAAAAGGAGTCAAATTTCTGCAATATTTTCTGATCTGAAAAGGGAATAAACAGTGGAAGCATGGGGAGATGTCAAAGAAAGATTACTTCTCTCCAGATGAATTTTCATCTCAAGCTTCCTTAAAGGCCTTCACCTCAGAATCTGTTCAGTTGTCTGTAATAGACAGATCTTTTCCTTAAACAAGTTGGGCTGCCTTCTCTGGGCATATACAATCACTTTGGGAATTCTGTTTCTTTGTCTCCTTTTCATAAACCTCAAAAATAATACTAAAAATTGTCCAGTCAAAGCAGTATTTTTATTATTCAATTTTTAAAGTTTTAGGCAGATATCTTGAAAATTGTGAGAGCTTATTGGTTCAATGCTACAGAGACACAAGAGTTTTGTGTTCATAGAGCACAATAATCAAATCATATCCAAAGAAAAATTCCTAGCTCTTTTCCTCATATAGTTAAGCTCTTAATATATTACTGGAGACTTAAACTATGTAAAAAGAATGAAATATGAGGTTAAACCTATTTTATAAATGAAAATTTAGTATGGTCTATAATCTCCAGGAAGATTTAATCAGAAAGACATAAGTAAAAAAGACATCATAATCTTATGAATTTTATTGTGATAAGATTTTTTAAATATTTAGTTTAATAAAGATATACTCAGTAATTAAGTTATCAACTTCACTCCTATGGCATATGATTTAGAATTGATAGATTATTCCCACTTAGATCATTTCAGCTTACATACCAAAAATATTAGTTAAAAAATAATACTATTAAATGGTGCCTTACCTTACAAAGAAAGTTGATCTTAAAGCCCAAAGACTGGGCATTTCTTGAGCCTGAGTTCATGTAGTTTCCAATCAAAAGAACCAACTCTAATAGTCTGTTAAAGCTTTCACTTTTCTTCAGCTCTTCACATGCAAGAGTTACTGCTATGATGCCTGGTTTGATGTTGTTTATATGTTCTTCAAAGGTGAGTTTGAAAAGGATGCTTGTGAGACGAGGCCGTAACATTTTCACCGAGCTCATCTGGAAGATAAGGAATGTCTGTCATAATATTTTATAAAACGTTCTTTCATCTCCTTATTGGGGATAATTTCATGAACAATATTGTAAGTTCATACACATGGCCAATATACTGTTTTTGTTTGTCTTCAGCTTTCCAAGGAAAATTTAGGTAAAGTTTTAAAAATCAGAAGCAGTCATCATGGTTATAATCTGATAAAATAAAGCTGAGGATGAACAGTTTCTACATGTTAATTGCAAAACCTTTAGTCACACATAGCATATAGTCAAAATATATCCCTGAGATGAAATAGGAAATCTTATACGCATAAAATTGAATTGAATGTATATGTATATATGTCATAGACAGTGGGTGTTCATGACAGTCAAAAATGTAGATGTAATATTTCCTAAGAAATTATCTGTTGGTATAGTTTGAAACTAGGGCATTAATGAAGACTAACTGTGAAAATTTCTTTTCATAAAATATAGTGAATATTTAAATTTTAAATTTGTTCTAAATAATTTTACCTACATGTCAAATGTTACTGTTAACATATCATTCAATTTTTTATGTTGGTTTTCCTCAAAACAGTTCAACTTGGGTTTTAATTACTTTTTCGTAAGATTATTGATGCACATTCCAAATTCTCTTTGGTATAGCCCCAATAATAATTATTCTGAGGTTTGAATTTCCTTTGACTCCAAATTAATTAGTTTCCATTTACCAAATGAAATCTGAAAAGGGGATGGGTGGAGACTAGATACACAGGAGCATTTTATGCAAACACAATGAAAAGAAATTATTAAATATACTAATCATACAGAATTTTGCATGTGTAGTTTAGTTTTTCTTTTTTTTTCTTTTTTAAATTAATTTATTTAAAAAAATATTTTCTCATTTTACAAACCAATCCCAGTTCCCACTTCCACCCCTTCTCCCGCTCCCTTCATCTTCCCTTCCCACCCCCTTCCATTCCTCAGAAAGGATGAGGCTTCACTGGGAAGTCACCAAAGTCTGGCACATTGCTTTGAGGCAGGAACAAGTCCGAGCAAGGTGTCTCTCCAAAGAGAATGGGCTCCAGAAAGCCAGTACAAGTAGTAGGGATAATTGCTGGTGCCACTACCAGTGGCCCTGTAGTCTGTCCCAGCCAGACAACTGACACCCACATTCAAAGGACCTAGTTTGATCCTATGCTTGTTCCTCTATTGTCAGGTCAGAGTCAGTGAGCTCCCATTGGCTCAAGTAAACTTTTTCAGTGGGAATTCTTTGCTCATATTCTTGCTATTCCCTCTCTCTGTGTGTTATATGTAGTGTGTGTCTGCGTGAGGGTGTGTATTTTATGTGTCTCTTTGTTTCGTATGTTCGTATGTGTGTGTTTTATGTGGTGTGTGTATGTGTGCAGGCGTGTGCTTTGTGTGTCTGTGTATGTGTGTTGTATGTGGTGTGCATGTATGTGTAAGGGTGTATGTTTTATGTGTCTCTGTGGTGAGTGTGTGTGTGCTTGTGTGTGTGTGTGTGTGCACTTGCTTTTCTTTTTAATTAATTTATTTATTTATTAAAGATTTCTGTCTCTTAGTTTTTCATAGACAAATTTTGAGCACAGACTAGGCACTGAGATATTTGCAAGTATAAAATTCATTGAAAGCATTAACAATGTCTTTTTGTTTTAAACATGTCTTCACTTTGTACCCAAGGCTTACCTTTGACTTTTGCTTATTCCATCTCAGCTTTTTAGAAGGTGATGTTACAGAAAATTGATTTAAATCACAAAGAACCTTTCTGTTGAATCCTCTGTTATGTCCCATGTGCTTAAGTTCTGAGTACTTGTTTTCTAGCTGTTGGCACTATTTGGAAAGTTGTGGAACCTTTAAGTATGACTCAGCTGTGGGAAGTGAGTCAATGGGTGCAGGGTTTGGAAGGGTACACAACTGTCACACACTTTCTTCCTGGTCTACCACCTTGTGAACAGCCTTTGCTACATACACCTACCACCATGAACCAATCTGTCCTGCCATGACGTCCCTTTCCATGATGGACTAAAATCCGAAAATATAAAGCAAATGAAACCTTGCCTCCCTTATATCAGTTCTGTCAGATATTTTATCACATCTACGAGAAAGGTAAGTAATATACCTTCAAAAGCTACACATGAATTACTGAGTAAACCATACTAGCTCTAATAGTGAAGCAACACAGTTGTCTGACTTTCCTTTGAGATTAACTTGCCTATTAATGATGGATATCTGCCTCTCTCTATCTGAACTCTTAACTTTAGTGAATTCTGTTTTCATACTTTTTCCAGGCAGAAATATATAAGAATGGAGCTAATACTGCCCTGATAAAGTATACACATAGCTCTCATCACTTTGGATTATTTTGTTTAAAGTATACAAATTGCCCTCTTGTTTCTTCGTCATTCCCATGACAAGTACAAAGTATACTACCTGTTTTAAAATGCTTACATTTATCTGGAAAATCATAACATCGGCACATGAAAACCACAGCTGACAATAAAACAGATGCACAATTCTAGATAGACAATGGGAAATTGAGTTCTAAAGAAATTTGCTGAAAGGAAAAAAAAACTTTATACTGAGAACTTCAACGTTTAATAAAAGCTTCACAACAGAGAAAATAAATACATTTTGACTTGAGTGTGCACTTACATATATGTACAGACAGAAAACAGACCTAAAGAAAATGGTAGAAAGAAGTTACATTAGAACACGTTTATGTTAGATTGATATGAAAAACAATGTAGAGTCAATGCAAAAGTACATGAAACTGAAAGCTAATGACATCAAAATCTGTCTCAAACATGTAGAAGCCCCTTTCTGTGTAAATGTGTAGAAAATCAAATTCTGTATGTATTACCCAGTCACAGTTTTTCTGTCTGTCTCCATATCTCTCCCTACATCATTTCTTCTTTCATCTTACTCACAACTGGCCTGCTTCAGTAGTCTGCCTACTGTGTATTGTCATATATGTTTAGGGAACAGCTTATTATATTAGCTCCTTTCTTGTTTGTTTGATCAAATATCCAACCAAAGGCAATGTAAGGGAGCCTTTACATTGTTTAATTTGGTCTTGCACCCTATTTAAATGGATGATGCCATCTACATTCTGGGTGAGTTCTAAATTCATTAAAGTGCCATTGGTTCAGAGTCAAAAAGGAATGAAAACCTTCGCAAGCTATGCAAAAGCTTTCAGTCCTTGTTTATTACTGGTTACACATATATGCATTTATATTTTCTTCTGTCATGAGTCTCTATTTCAATTCTTGACCTACAATCTCTGAGTATGAATTTTATTCATTTTTTAACAGAAATAGTATAGTCAACAAATAATTCTCAGTAAGAATAGTTATAGCAATAACAGCCATTAATGCTTCTTGAGAATTTTGTCAGAATTTTTTCTGCTTTAGTGATTTAATTCTCAAAATGATCCTAGGAAAAATCTGCTGTCTTTACAGTACAACTATGTATGTGTGATGGTTTGAATGAGACACGCACCATAGGCTCAGACATTTAACCTTTGGTTTCCCATTGCTAAAGCTGCTTGGGGAGGTTTATGAAGTGTGGCTCTGCTTCAAGAAGTACATCACTGGAGGAAGACTGTATGTGTTTCTAGTCTCCCTTCACTTCTTGTTCACTCTCTCTGCTTCGGAATTATGAGGGAGTATGTATGCTTTCAGCTTTCTGCCATTGCCCCTCCTTACTGACAAGGACATTTATCTTTATGGAAACATAAGCCAAATAAACTCATTCTTCTCATTATTTGCTTTTAGCCATGATGTTTTATCACAGCAACAGGAAACCAAGTAATATATAATTATATTACACTGTCCCTTAAGCATTATTAGAAACCAGAACTGTGCTGTGATTGACTAAATGACGAGTGTCAGGGAAATCACCAATAAGGTAGGTATAAAAATGCCCCAAGAAACAAGTAATGATTTATAACAGGAATAGAAAGGAAAAGATGAATGAGAAAGTGGCTGCCCAACGTGAGGCTAACTGAATCCACAAGAAGCCTGAGAAAGCTTGGGAAAGAGTAAAGCATGTTTGTTTTCTTGGTAGCAACAATTTTTCGGGTCTACTCTGCTTGCTAGAGACAAGCAAGCACTCTCATCTAAAAGAGGCTTCCTGACTCAGCTTCAGCTGCAGAACCCTGCAGCTCATTAAGAGGTCCTGCCACAAAACACTTAAACGGTGTTGGTGAAAAGCTGAACGCACGCTTTTCGGATTTCAGCCGTAGCAGAAAAAAAGCTGTGCTGTTTAAAAATGCTGGCTTTCTGGGCCATCCTGCCAGGGCAAGCTCTGACTGTTTGAGGCAGGAGGGCCGGCTACAGAGAGAGGACTTGAGTGTTGTCTTTTGTAGCTCGCTGGCTGGCAGGGACCTTGAAACGCCATAGAGTTGTGGCAGTAAATGTGGCTACAACCGGTACCTCAGCCAAGAGGCTGGAAAGCTAAGGAATGGACTGGATCTAGCTGGCAAAGCCACGGCTTTAATCCTACTCATATTGCTCAGTAATTTAAAGGCTCGTGTGGTCAGAAAAAGAGAGATATATAGTAAAGAGAGATTCAAAGACAAAGAAAATGTTTAAATAATTTACAGTGTGTTAAAAATATATGCAAGCTAAAAGTTCTTAAAAGTAAAAATAAGAAAAAGAGAAGTTGTGTGTGGTAGTACACGCCTTTAATCCCAGTGCCTGCGAGGCAGAGACAGAAGGATCTCTGAGAGTTCAAGGAGAGCCTGGT